AGCGGGTACGCGTCGAGGGACCGCATCGCCTGAGGGACGTGTCGCGGACGCGTCGTGGACGCGTCCTCCCGGCTAGAGCGCGCCTCGGGCGGCTTCTTCGCCGGCCAGGCGGACCGCAGTGCGTCGAGCTCCGGACCCGAGGGGTGGAACGAGGCGGCGGCGTGCACTGCGACCCACAGCCCGCTGGGCGGCAGGTTGGGCGCCCAGCTCCGGTTCTCCACCCGCTTGACGCCCGCCATGATCGCAGAGGCAAACGGCTGCTTGATCGTGAGCGCCTTGAGAGAGCCGCCGGCCGGCCGCGGCAACTTGCCGCCGCCCGAGGTGGCGGCAGGGGCGGCGGGGGCGACGGCGGCGGCGGCGGTGGTGAAACCGTCCGCGCCCGGCGAGGAGGCTGGTGGTACCCTTGCCGCCGGCGGCGATGGGAGCCGCTCCGCCGGCTCCGTCTGCGGCGAAGGGCGCGGCCGCTTGGGCGAGGGCAGCACGGAGGGCTCCCTCTGCTGCAGCACAAAGACGGAGCGGCGGCTCGCCTCCGAGCCGTCGAGCGCGAGGCTGTCGCCGTGGCGCAGCGTTGCCCGCTGGCCCGCGCACAGCTTCCGCCAGCCCACTTCGCCGTCGCGGCGCCAGAGCGTTGCATTGCGGCCACGGCCCTCGACAGCCACGCCGGCGTCGCTCCCTTCGAGCGCGACCTGGACGCGCGAGACGTTGGACGATGCGTCGTCCGAGAGGACGTGGCGCCGGCCCAGCTCGAGCTCGCGCGACGCGTCGACCTCGACGCCGGTCGCGACGCACCGAAAGCGCCACATTTGATGCGAGCGTCGGTGGACAGAAGAGATGCGACCGTGCGCCCCCCGGCGTTCAGGCGCGAAAACGGCAGTGAAAACCAAGTGCTCCAACCTACAGCTCTAGGTGCTTAGTGTAGGTAAACGAAAAAAGTAGATTTCAATTCGTCCACGTACGGCTTCGTGAGTGGTTGGGGTGGCCCGTCCCGCAGCCCTCATGCACCAGGGTCATGGGTGCAGTCATAATATGTAGGCCTTCTCTCCCAGAGTTTTGAGCAATAGCCGCAAACAACTTGAGCACTTGAGCACTGGATACTCGAGTAGGGTCGATTCCGCATGGTACGGGACCCCTCGATCGTCTCGCCCTCCCTCACTGGTGTGTTCATTGGGGGGGGTCATAACAAACACGGTACAGGATCGAGGTGCACGCTGCCAAAGCAAGCAGTGTCCTGAGGGAGGGTGTAGAGGATGTAGAGTGTAGAGCGCTGTAGAGATGTAGAGATGTAGAGCGCTCTGGAGCGCTGTAGAGCTGTAGAGCTCTACATCCGCCGCGGGACGAAGCGCCTGCGTTGTAGAGCGATGTAGAGCGCGATTTTGTTGTAGAGCTTGTTGTAGAGGCTCTACAGCAAAACTGCCGGGAAGGCAGTGACTCAAAGAGGTCGAGTCGCACTAATGGGGTGTCTCCGAGCTTACTGGAGCTCTGATGGACGGCCCTGACTATCCCTGACACACAGAGAGTCACTCTGATGGCACACAACACCCTATAACTGCGTCATGACCAGCCTGCCATGCGTCGCCGGTGCCGCATTCGTCGCAGTGCTCCTTTAGCAGGCGGTGGACTGTCGGCTGCGAGGACGGTCGCATTTGCGCGAGGCGAGGCGAGCATTCAGACGCGTTGCATGCGCCATGACTCGCGCCAGCGCGTGCGGGAGCTCCTGGCTGAGCGTTGAGTCCAGGCGAGTTGCGCTGGCCACTATCGCTACGCCGAGCCAAGCTGACGCGCCGAGGCGCCGGCCAGTCGCAGCCGTGAGGCATGCCACAGCAGCAGAGGCACCTGCCACCCATTGGGCGGGCAGACGGAAGGCCAGGGCAGCACTGGCAAGTGCAACGCGCCTAATGTCGGAGAGCGACCGTGCCTCCCTCGTTCGCCGCTTATGATGTAGAGTTTGTTGTAGAGATTTCACGTTGTAGAGCGCCTCTACATCGCTCTACAACGCAGGCGCTTCGTCCCGCGGCGGATGTAGAGCTCTACAGCTCTACAGTGCTCTACAGCTCTACAGCGCTCTACACTCTACATCCTCTACATACACCCTCCCTCAGGCAGTGTCGTCCCCCCTCTCCCCGACGGCGATGGCGGTGTGACCGATCGAGCTACAAGAGGAGCTTGTTCAGCAGGATCCGGGATAGTCAGATGCACTACCTCACTGGGCCTGAGACCACCACACGACCCTCCCATCACCGTCTCGGATTTATGTGGAGTCGAACCACTCCGGAATGGGCAAGCCCATCGATTGTCATTGATCCATCTGGTTAATTGTCAAAATTCCTGGGCGGCGAGACCACGTGCATAGTATGCTTCACTCGGCCGAAGGATCACGTCGCCATCCCTTGTGGGCATCAGTGCGCGTGCGCCGAGTGCTCCGCCAAGATGGAGCAGTGCCCCATCTGCCGCCAGGCTGTGCTCGTGTGGATGGATTCGTCGCGCATTCGCCTGGCATAGGGTTGCGAGGTGCTCCCAGATCAACCGCAGCTGCTACGCAGTGCCCCGCTCTACAGCTACCACTCAGTGCCACGCCCCTCCCCGGGGGAATGGTCATGTTTGTGTCGCAGGAGGTGAGGCACGAATACCCTCACGAGCACCAACAGCCTGACCTGTATCGAGAGGCTTCACCTATTATTCTCCCTTCCCCGCCCCAGAGTGACAACTAGTCCATCGTATTCACATATCTCTATATTCCCATACCCCGTGTGGTGGCACGTCTTGCCACTTAGATCACCAGTATTAGCACTTTGGGCGCCGGATAGGCGCCCAAATATTGGCACGTAATAGTCTCCCGACTGCTTTCGTGGGGAGTGGCCCCGCGAGACAGTCGACCTCTCTACTGTTGTGACACCACAACACGGCGCAGCTGGCGTCTTCCCCCCCACCGGTGTGACACCACACCTTCGTACTTTGAACACTCTCTACAAACATGTCTTCCTCGGCTGAGGAGGCCCGTGACACCGCGGGCGATCTATCTCCCGCGACCAAGCCGCAGGACCGCGTACGACTCAACATACACGTGCTGGGCACCGATGATTCGGGTCCAGATGACCATCTCTCGAGCGAGAGACGAGGGACGCCTCACGAGACTCCAGAGGGCCTAGACCGGGGCGATACCACCCGGTCAGACCACACTGATCACCTCCACAGACTTTGAGGCACCATCATCGGACGATGTCGACGAGCTGGGTCGCTCTCGCGGTAGCCAGGTAGCCCCCCATACTAGTAGCACCAGCCATGGCCTCAGGGAGCGCGGGCGAGGGCGCTGGGAGCAACACGGACAAAAAAACATCATCAAAATTCATCACCTGTACCTGTACCTGTACCTGTACCTGTACCTGTCGCTCCACACACCAACAACACATGGACATGGACATGGACATGGACATGGACATGGACATGGACATGGACATGGGGCGCCCAACACGTGCCCGGATTACTGTGCCTTCCCCGGGTGCAGCCTTTCGGTTCGTGAAGGGTCGGTGCGTGTCGAGTGTCGTGACCCCCTGGAACACCCGTACCCCCGCACCATCTCCGTCGCTTGGTTCCATAACCTCTGCCACCACCGGGAGGCGGCCAGGGCTTCATAGACTCGGTCGAGAGACCCCAGATTGGCATCCATGCCTCTCTGGACAGGGTGGCCCGCCACAAGGACCCCAGGAATTGCGACTCGCCGCTTTCCTCCCGCTGCGGGTGATTCTGTGTGAGCTCTGTGTCTTGATTTGCCAACAATATACCTAGCACCACAGCACCCGTGTATTTGCAACTAGCCATCCGCATGCGGAGATCCAGCACACACAAACTTACAGATCACACAATAGTGATATAGGCAGAGCACACACACATGCACACACACAACCAACAGTATCAGAAGTGCAATAAAAACTCGAGCGTCGAGGAAGCCAGGACGTACCTCGTTGTGTACAGCGCTGGTGCTCGTCCGTTGCGAGTGCGCGCAGCGCAAACACAACGCCAATGCTCTCCGAAGCCGGCAGTGGCATTCCGTCAGCAATCACGAGGACGCCGCCCGGCGAGCCGCGCTCTCGCGCCACGTCTCGCGCCACGCCGCGGTCTCGGTCGGCTCAGCGCAGGAGAGGCGCGGCCGCCGCCGCGCGGCGAGGCTGGGCGGCCAGAAGGGGTAGGCCCACACGTAGAGGAAGAGGGAGAGGACGAGGATGCGCGGCGGGTAGACGAAGCCGGCGGTGATGTAGCCCGAGAGGAGGATGTTCAGAGTGTAGTTGACGGGCTCGGTGAAGAGGTCGCCGCGCGCGCCGTCGGTCGACGAGTACGGGAGGACAAAGTAGCCGAACAGCCGGACCAGCGTCCCGACCTTGGGTCGAGGGGTCAGTGGGGTGAAGTCAGGGGCGCGAGGGCGAGGGTCCGCGTCGCGGTCCGGTGGCTTGGGGGTCGAAGTGGCCTGGAGCAGGATCCAGAGCCCGTGGACGTGCGCTGGGTGGATGAAGAGCGTGCGCAGCGCCTCGATGATGCGCGAGACGCCGAAGAGGGCGAAGCCGGGGACCGTGAGGTGCTTGACGCCTAGGAAGTGTCTAGGAAGTGTCTAGGAAGTGTCTAGAGGGCGACGCCGGGGGCGGTGAGGTGTTTGACGCCGTAGACGCGAGGGGTGAGGAGGAAACCGCTCGGCACGTTGACGAGGAGGGCGAGGCCGACGGCGGTGTGGGTGAGCCACTGCCTGTCGGGGCGCAGGATGGCGCACATCCCGACGAAGAGCTCGACCTACAGGAAGGTTCCAAGAAAGGTCTAGGCAAGGTCTAGGAAGATGGCGCACATCCCGACGAAGAGCTCGACCTACAGGAAGGTTCCAAGAAAGGTCTAGGCAAGGTCTAGGAAGATGGCGCACATCCCGACGAAGAGCTCGACCTACAGGAAGGTTCCAAGAAAGGTCTAGGCAAGGTCTAGGAAGATGGCGCACATCCCGACGAAGAGCTCGACCTACAGGAAGGTTCCAAGAAAGGTCTAGGCAAGGTCTAGGAAGATGGCGCACATCCCGACGAAGAGCTCGACCTACAGGAAGGTTCCAAGAAAGGTCTAGGCAAGGTCTAGGAAGATGGCGCACATCCCGACGAAGAGCTCGACCTACAGGAAGGTTCCAAGAAAGGTCTAGGCCAAGGTCTAGGAAGATGGCGCACATCCCGACGAAGAGCTCGACCTGTTCACAGGCAGCAGCTGAGAAGACACGCCGTTCACAGCTCGCCTGCACATCCGACGAAGAGCTCGACCGCCGAGCCGACGCCGTGCACCAGCACGACGCGGCCGTTGCCTGCAGTGGTGGAGTACGCCAGCCTCAGGGCGGGAGATATGGGGAGATATGGGGAGATATGAGCAGCCTGCGTGGTGAAATACGCCACCCTCAGGGCGGGAAGGCGGTCTTGTGCAGTGTACTCGGAGCAAAGCGCGAATGCGAGGGAGGGCCGAGTGCGCGTCCTCTCGAGCGCTGGTTGGGAGACAAGAACACGTCTTCCGCTTCTAGACTCCGTTGCCGTGCGCCGCGAACTTACGGTGCGCGCGCCGCACCACCGGCCGCTCGATGACGTACGTCTTGAGCAGAAAATAGACCGTGGCGACGTACGTGAGGACGCCTACAGGAAGGTTCCAGGAAGGGTCTAGGAAGGGTCCGAGAAGTAGACCGTGGCGACGTACGTGAGGGCGCAGAGGGAGGGGCGCATCGGCTGGGAGACGAAGTCGACCACCGGCTGGTAGTAGTCGAGCCGCCCCCAGACGTGCTCCCGCTGGTGCGTCCAGTACGCGTCCCACTCGCCCAACCGCATCGTCCGGCTCGCCAGCGCCCCAAACGAAGCGACGAGGGCGGCGTCGAGGGCGGCGCGGAGCAGCCGCCGCCGCCACTGCGGCGGAGGCTGTGGCGGCGGCGGCGCGGGCGCGGCGGGACGGGGCGACGCGCGCGGGCTCTCGCCGACGGGGTACGCCTCCGCGGGCTGCGGCTCCGCGGGCTGCGGGTCGGGGGGCAGGCTCTGGTCGGCCGACGGCTGGCGGTCTGCCGACGGCTTGTTTGCCGCGGGCTGCGCCTTGAGAGCGCCTCCGGTGTCTCCTCCGGTGCTCTGGCGGGCTCCGGTGTCTCCTCCGGTGCTCTGGCGGGCTCCGGTGTCGCCTCCGGTGCTCTGGCGGGCTCCGGTGTCTCCTCCGGTGCTCTGGCGGGCTCCGGTGTCTCCTCCGGTGCTCTGGCGGGCTCCGGTGTCTCCTCCGGTGCTCTGGCGGGCGGGCTCCCGCGAGGACGTCTTGCGGGGCGACCCCGGGAGGCGGACCGACAGGGCGGGCGGGGCGATCCGGTTCGCGAGGGCGAATGCGGCGAGCGAGAGGAGGAGGTAGTGCGGCGGGTAGACAAAGGCGGCGACGAGGAAGCCCGCGAGGAGGAGCGTGAACGTGTAGCAGAGCGGCTCGGTGAAGAGGTCGCCGCGCGCGCCGTCGGTCGACGAGTAGGGCGTCACGAAGAAGCCGACCAGCCGGACCGCCGTCCCGGAGTGGAGCAGGATCCACAGGTTGGGGAGCAGCCTGGGCGACAGCGCGAGGACGCGCGCCGCCTCGAGCGCGCGCGCGGCGTGGTAGAGCCCGAAGGCGGTGTCGGCGAGGTGCCGGACGCCGGAGCGCGACGAGTGGCGGGCGAGCAGCACGCCGGTCGGCACAGTGACCGCGAGGGCGACGCAGGCCGAGGCGCGTGCCCACGGCACCTGGTACGAGCCTTCCTCCAAGGGGCCCACGACTGATGCGGCCGCCTCGAGGTCGAGCGTCGCGCAGAGTCCGAGCCCGAGCTCGAGGAGAGAGCCCGCCTGCGCGGGCAGGCTGGTCCGTGTCATGGGCGGGTCATGGCGTCGTGTGGAGGTGTCATGAGCGAGCTCGAGGAGAGAGCTCGCCGAGTGGAGCGCCGCCGTCCACGGCCGCTGGACGGCGGCTCCGGTGCGCTCGACGCCATACAGCAGCGCCCACGAGTACAGTGAGAGCAGGCTGAGGCCGATGGCAATCGACCCGTTCAGGGTCTGGCTCTCGATGAAGTCGAATTGGCGAGGCGCCGAGAGGACCGCCTCGGTCACGTCTCTAACCAGCGCTGCCGGCTCCTCCATCACGACGAGGACGGCGATCACGCAGAGCAGGAGGGCCGTGTCCAGCTTCTTGTGCAAAGCGTCAAACTCTGCGTCTGTCGGCTCGCGGCTCGGGCCCTTGTTTGGCGCCGCTTTGCTCGAACCTGTCCCCGAGTCGGATCGAGTCCGCGCTGGGGAGCGGCTAGGGCGCCGAGGCCTGTCGTTCATCAGTGAGCCCTGCGAGCAGGTCGTCTTGGTGGCGGCGGCGAACGAAACGCCGTTTTTCTCGTTTTTCGAGGGTACCCATTCGTTGCTGGTAGCGAGTCGACGCTGCTTGACCTGCCAGCGTCGACTCGCCCTGTTCGCAGATCTCCTCTGCTGGCGCCATGTGCCTGTCGCCGGCGCTGCAGAGCGGCGAGGACATCGTCAGCCACCAGCTCGAGCTGCAGTCGATCTTGCACGGTGTGCACCAGCGCTACGCCGGCCGCCAAGGGCGGTACAACAAGCACGACACGGCGCGGCTCCGCTACATCAAAAACACCGCCTTCCCGGGCCTGCGCTTCGGCAAGATGGTGCCGGAGCGAGACATGGCGATGCTCAGCCCTCTCCCACCGTCGCGGATCGCCCGTCACCTCGCCTCTCCGCAGGGTCATCTCTCGCGCCGTCTGCATCTCTCTGCCGGTCGCCAGCACCCGCCACCGACTGGCTGCACCGCCACTCGCGACGCGCCACCCTCGCTCACCAGCCTGCATACGCGCTACTCCCGCCGTGCCTTTGCTGCCACATGGATCGCATGTCACTGCAAACGCGCCCGCAGCCGCGCCGTAAAGGTCTGCCTTGCTGGCTGACGATCTCACTCTCCCGCTCCTATTGCATCTGCCTCCCGCCTCCCAGCTCACATTTGACACTGCAGTAGGTGCTCCTGTCGACGCTGCCGCCGCTGCCACCGCTACTGTCACCGCTCGTTTGATAATCGACGCCACGCTTAGCGGCAGCGAGATCCGAGGTTGAGTCAACTTGCCTGGTGCGCTCTTGCGCGTGCCTTCAAGATCCACAAGTCAATTTGTACCAGAAATCCAAAGGTGGTGCAAAATGGATATCTCAAGATTGGCCTTTATTTCGCGCACCTGCTCTCCGCCGCCGCCGCTTACCTGCTGGCACGCCACCGCCCCGCGTCGCTAACTCAAGCCTCCCTGCTGCATCTTGCCACCCCTGCCACATGACTCGACCGCCGTCGCTGCTACCGCCCTCCCCGCCGCCCTCGAAGGCGCCACCAGCATTACGGCCGCCTTCATATCTCATTGATGCTGCCACCAACGCCACTTCCTCGATTCTGTGCCGCTGCAGCGGCGAGGCGCCGTCGCCACGATCGCCGCCAGCGCTGCTGATAGCCTCGGAGCGTCGCCGTGGCCGCGTTCTGGTCTGCCCACGCTTCCCTAAAACGTCTAGGACGAGCTCAGAGGCTAAGGGCGCATCATGTGGGACCATCTAGCTCTACTGGGTCCGCGACGGTGGTCGGCGCACCCCCGTCTCGAACGTGTGTGCTCTCTGTCTGTCTGTCTGTTGTTTCGGCTAAGTCGTTTTGTACCGGATTTCAATGTTAGTGGCAAAACCGCGGAGCCGAAAATGGCGTTTAATTTCGCGCACCTGCTGTCCGCCGCCTGCGGCGGCGCTCCGCGCCGCTTGGGGCGCCTGCGGCGCCCCTGGGCGCGCTGCGCGCGCCTGTTTTGGGGGGGCTACCAGCACCGAAAAAGTGCCGTTTTTCGCTGCAGTCTCCACGTGTTCGCCAAATCTAACCGAACCAGGCGGTATGGGGCGGCGTCGGCGAGTCCGGGAGAATTTTTCTTTGAGCCCCATCCGCCGCAGCGGAACACCATTCCCGGAACTAAGAGCGTCGCGACAGAGGAAAACGACGCTCGCTCTAGACCTCTTGTTCCGTTGCTCCTTGTCCTTAGACCGCTCTCTCCTTGCGGGATGCGGCGCATGCTGTGCGCACACAGTGCCAGCTGTGGGCCACCTGCCCCAGGCCCAGCGCTCCCAGCTCGTGTACTTGCTCGTGGGGGCGCGGGAAAGTTCGCACACAGGCCCGTCGCCTCAGTCCCTGTCGGTGTATTCGAGCCGGACGTCTCCTGTCGCCAGTCGGTAGTCGCTTGGGCGTGAATAGGGGTCCCCGATCTTGGAAAGCCCCGTAGAATATTAAGCCATAAATTAATAATTATTAATTAAGGTTGCTTACCCTGTGTGTGGGCCTACGTTAGAAATGCATGGGCCATGGCTGGGAAATACTGAGCCGACATCGAAATAAGAGCCACAGACACGACAGTCCTCACACAGCCGCGAGAAGCTCTTGTGGCGGCCAGAGCTCAATATACTAAGGCTCAATACTGCTAATGACAGGCCACTTTGGCGCGAGTCGGAAGGCCGTGACGAAGGGGCAGCGCGGACACCCCAAGCCCTCGTTAGCGAAGTGCTGCTCAAGTGCACAGATGCTCTGAGCTCTAGGGTTTGAACCCCAACTTCTTGATCTGCTTGCGGATGTCGGCATTGTTCGCGAGCTTCCGCAGCGCCCCAGTAGCATACTGCTTCTGCCCCTCGGTACCTTCGCGGGCCAGCGCCACCAGCGGCGCGATGCCACCCGCCTTTGCGATCGCCACCTTGTTGTCGGGGTTGTTCGCGAGGTTCAACAGCGCTCCCGCGGCCCTCTCCTTCTGGCCCTCCGTGCCGCCGCGGGCCAGCGCCACCAGCGGCGCGATGCCGCCCGCCTTTGCGATCGCCACCTTGTTGTCGGCGTTGCGAGCGAGGATCAGCAGTCCCCCCGCTGCCTGCTCCTTGAGCCCGTCTGTGCCTTCGTGAGCCAGCGCCACCAGCGGCGGGATGCCGCCCGCCTTTGCAATCGCCACCTGGCTGTCGGCGTTGAGAGCGAGGACCGACAGCGCTCCCACGGCCTGCTCCTTGGGCCCTCCGCTGCGCAACTGCTCTACGAGCTCCGGCACCCCGGAAGGAATGGAGGGCGCGTCCGCCGACTTCGCGCTGTCCACCATCATTTCCTCCTACAACAGGGGGCGGAGGGTGGGCGGAGGGTGAGCTGGTGGGCGGGGGCGGGGCGCGCGGGGGTGGCGGTACGCCTGGTGGCCGTTCTCCTTTTGCGCTTCCTCGGCCCCTGCGATCGCCATCTGGCTGTCGGCGTTGAGAGCGAGGACCGACAGCGCTCCCACGGCCTGCTCCTTGGGCCCTCCGCTGCGCAACTGCTCTACGAGCTCCGGCACCCCGGAAGGAATGGAGGGCGCGTCCGCCGACTTCGCGCTGTCCACCATCATTTCCTCCTGCAGCAGGAGGCGGAGGGTAGGCGGAGGGTGAGCGGATGGGCGGGTGTGGTGTGCGCGGGGAGTGGCGGTACGCCTGGTGGCCGTTCTCCTTTTGCGCTTCCTCGGCCCCCGCGATCGCCACCTTGTTGTCGGCGTTGCGAGCGAGGATCAGTAGCGCCCCCGCAGCCTGCTCCTTCAGCCCGTCTGTGCCATCGCGAGCCAGCGCCACCAGCGGCGCGATGCCGCCCGCCCTCGCAATCGCCACCTTGTTGTAGGCGTTGCGAGCGAGGCTCCCCAGCGCCTCCGCAGCCGGAGACTTTTGCCCGTCCGTTCCGCCGCGAACCAGCGCCACCAGCGGCGGGATGCCACCCGCCTTCGCGATCGCCACCGCGTTGTCAGCGTTGTCAGCGAGGCCACGCAGCGCCGCCGCGCCCTCCTGCTTCTGCCCGTCCGTGCCGCCGCGGGCCAGCGCCACCAGCGGTGGGATGCCGCCCGCCCTCGCGATCGCCACCTGGATGTCGGAGCAGGCGACCGACTCGGCGGCCGCCGACATTTTCAAGCGAGCCATGACCTCAGTAAACCTCTTCCGGTTCGGACAGGCCTCCTGCGCGTCGTGCTGCGCGTCCTGCACGAGCGCGTAGTCCTTGTCGCCGACGCACAACTCGAGAGCCGCCTCATAGTCGCCCGCCTTGAGGTAGAAGTCGAGCCACTCGACGCGCGCCGCCTCCTGCGCGGCCTCGGACGCCGGCGCCGCCTCCTGCTCGGCCTCGGACGCCGGCGCCGCCTCCTGCTCGGCCTCGGACGCCGGCGCCGCGGCCTTGGTCAAGTTGCTAACGAGGCTGGACAGCGCCGCCGCGGCCCACTCCTTCTGCCCGTCCGTGCCGTCGCGAGCCAGCGCCACCAGCAGCGGGATAGCGCCCGCCTTTGCGATCGCCACCTTGTTGTCGGCGGTGAGAGCGAGGAGCGACAGCGCTCCCGCGGCCTGCTCCTTGTGCCACTCTGTGCCGCCGCGAACCAGCGCCACCAGCGGCAAAATCGACGCCCGGATGTCGGCGTTGAGAACGAGGGTCAACAGCTCCAAACGAATCGAAAGTTTCTGCTCATCCGTGTACCCGTCGCCTACGCCAGCGTGATGCCATGCTAGAATCGCCGGCGTGATGCCACCCGCCTTTGCAACCGCCACGAGGTTGTCGGCGGCGTTGTCAGACGTGAGGTGCCGCAGCGCCCTCGCAGTCTCCTCCGCGTCCCCTCCGCTGCGCACCTGCTCCACGAACTCCCGCACCTTGGAAGGAATGGAGGGCGCGTCCACCGACTCGGCGCTGTCCACCGCCGCGGCGCGGCCGGGCAGGCACTGCAGGGCGGCCGGGAAGAAGGAGGAGAGCTTCTGGAGGAGGGCTGGCGCCGCCGCCGCCTCCAACACGAGCACTGCCTCGGGCTCGACCGGCGTCTCCTCTGCTGACGCCCCCCTCGGCTCCATAATCGTCGGGATGACTTCCATCGCGATCGCCTGCGCGTGCTCCTCCTTTGCCACCAGCGCCGCCGCCACCGCGCTCGCTGCCTGCCGCGCCGCCACCTTGAACCGGTTCCCCTCGCCGGCCTTGGCGTCATTCTCCGTCTCCCACGCAGACAGTTCGGCATCGGCGCGCTTAGCCGCCGCCTCGCTCTTCGCCAGCTCGTCCTCCAGCGACCGGTGGATGTCCTCAAACGCGACCTGCACCGTCTTGTCGAGCGCCTTGATCTTTGGCAGCTGCCCGTCCTTGTCGCCCTGGTTGGTCACGGTGACGTCGGGCTTCGAGAGGAAGGCGTGCGCCTGCTCCGGCGTCTTTGTCGCCCAACTCTGGATGAGCATCTTCTCGTGCAGCTCAGCCTGCTCGGCCGCGTTCTGGATGCAGACGATGTGGTGCCGCTTGTTCTTGGTTCCCACCGCCGGCTTGAGGCCGTCAGGCATCGCGAACTGCATGGCGAGCCACGACTCAAACTGGGTCCAGAAGCGCGACACGTACGACAGGTCGAGGAGGATGAGGACGGTCGTGCCGAGGTAGAGACGATTCACCTCCTTGAGCATCCTCTTGAAGGAGGCCGTGTCCTCCGCGCTGCGCGAGCCCATGGGGAGGTCTTGCGGCATGCAAGCCGAGTCGAGCCACACGCGCTCGATCTTCTGGCCGTCGGGCGAGGTGAGGAAGCTCTTGAGCGCCTTGAGCTGCTCGCCGTCGGGGTCCGGATGGTCCGGCCGCATCCAGCGGTGCGAAACCGCCAACGTCGTCTCGAGATGGGTGCCCTTTACGACGTCAGCGTAGTCGAGCGCCACTTCAATGAGCGGCTCATCGATGACGAACTTGTCTCGTATCTCCTGGAAGAAGGGTAGGCTCTTGCCCGGGAATTGGCGCACGAAGTCAGCGCTCAGCATAAAGAAGGTGCACCGCCGGGTACCCTCGTCGTCCGGTTGAGCTGGCATTGCGAGTACCAATGTTGGTCGGCGGCGTCGTGCTGAGCAAGGTCCGTTTCGTTGCCTTGGGCCCGGCGCCCCCCCCGCCCGCCGGATTTCGGGGTACGTCAAAGGACCCTCTCCCGTTCCCGACTGCGTTGAGCCAGGACGTGTGGCAGCCCAGTTGGATGAGTGTCTAGTGTGGTGTGTTTGTGCGTCGCCTCTCTAACTAACTAACCCACGTGTGTAGAATTCCTAGATGATTCGGTCGACAAACCGTGTTGGTAAGAAAGAAAACAGACGCCAGGACCGCCTCGGTCGCTCTCTAACCAGCGCTGCCGGCTCCTCCATCACGACGAGGACGGCGATCACGCAGAGCAGGAGGGCCGTGTCCAGCTTCTTGTGCGAAGCGTCAAACTCTGCGTCTGTCGGCTCGCGGCTCGGGCCCTTGTTTGGCGCCGCTTTGCTCGAACCTGTCCCCGAGTCGGATCGAGCCCGCGCTGGGGAGCGGCTAGGGCGCCGAGGCCTGTCGTTCATCAGTGAGCCCTGCGAGCAGGTCGTCTTGGTGGCGGCGGCGAACGAAACGCCGTTTTTCTCGTTTTTCGCTGCGGTCTCCACGTGTTCGCCAAATCTAACCGAACCAGGCGGTATGGGGCGGCGTCGGCGAGCGCCTCATGCTTTGGGGCTGCGTTTTCTTTGAGCGACATCCGCGCTCCAAACCTGCAAAACAAACAAAACGCCCGTCAACAGGGCTCCAGGCCCCAAATGACGCGTGAGTGTGCGATTTGTTCGTCTTGGTATTCATCGCTCCCACACCTGCAGTATCCCGGAACCAAGAGCGTCGACCAAGAGAGGTCTCGGATGTCTGCCGCGACGAGCGACTGGATTGCCGCCGCCTCGAGCGGCGTCGTCTCGCGCATCGACGCCGCGCTGCCGGTCCTCCTCGCCTCTGGCCGCGGCGCCGCCGCCGCCGACGGCGAGGGGCTGAGCGCGCTGCACCACGCGGCGGAGCGAGGGCACGCGGCGGCGGCGCGGCGGCTCCTCGCGCTCGGCGTCCCGGTCGATGTCCGAGGCCGCGGCGGCCACTCGTCGACGCGGCGCGTCCCCGTCGGCCACGAGCATGTGCCTCTGCGCGACTTCACGCCACTGCACGCCGCAGCGCTCGCCGGGCACTCTGACGTTGTCGTTCTGCTCCTCACGCACGGCGCCGACCCGGACGCTGCGGATCGGAGCCGGCTGACGGCGCTGCACTGCGCGGCAGCCGCCGGCCGCGCCGCTCCCCGAGCGCTCCGGTCGCTCCTCGAGGCGGGGTGCGGCTGCTGCCTCGACGCTCGCTCGGCCAGCAACGCGACGCCGCTCGACGTCGCGCGCCAGGCGGCGGCGAGGGCGCGCGGCGCGG